TAAATGTGGTTTGGAAAAAAGTAAAAAAGGAAGATTAAAGATAGGACATTAACCTCAGGGAACACATATAAAAAGTGTCATTTTTAGCGAATATTTTAACTTCCTGTAGTAGACAGTATTTCCATAAAGATGCAGCTAAAATGTAAAAGGAAGAAAACAGTTTTACAACTACCTTACAGCTACCTTACTTAATACTCGGATGTTTTTGGTAGAAAATTTGCGGTGGTAGAAGGAGGAACGAATGAAATTCGACGGTGAACGGAGAGGAGCAAGGGAGCACCCCCCCACGATTCCGCGTTATAATTCACATCGGACTACTTTATTACATTTTCCGTTCGTTAACGTCGCCAGTGACGTTTCGGACAGCAGCGGGTGTCAGCGCGAGCACCGAATTTCCGGTCCGTCTTATGGACGCGTTAACGGCGTTCCAGAAAAGGAAGGGGGGGGGGGATTTTCTCATTGGCGAGCGCGAGTTGATAGGAGAAAAGAAGGAAAATGCGGCGAGAGCATACCGGCGCAAGATTATCAACGTTACATGGCGGTAACGCGGGCGAATAATGAGAACGGTTCATGCAAAAGCGATTAAACTCGTTTAGCTAAGAGCGCGCTGAGCGGATAATAAAATCGCGGGGTCTAATTCGATGAACGTGCGTAAGCGGTGACATCATTTCGACTCCACCTCACGGCCCTGGAGAGAGAGAGAGAGAGAGAGCGAAGCATTAATGACGATACGCTCCCGATGGTCGGCCACTCGTAAAAGCGCCGTGTCGCCCGACGCCCGTCGGCGACGCCGTCGCCGACGCCATCGCCGCAGACGTCGTGAGCAACTACCGATTCCCGACGTTCCTGCGTAAAATGTCATCCGCGTAATCCGACATTCCCCTCCACCGTTGTTGAGTAATGGACTGGCAGCAACCTTCTCGCTCGCGATCGGATTCCACCATTTGTATTTATAGCATTGTGTCGCAGACGCATAGACCGCGTCCTAGGACTGTTGGATCATTGAGCGGAATACGTAATAAGTTTCAGGTCGCGCTTACGCGCTCGGGAATGCGCCGCCGCGTAGGCCGCGCGCGCGGATTCGTGCGTTCTTGTTGCGCGCTCGCGAGAAATCGTTATTTAGACACGCGTCCTACGAGACGGCAAAACGCGTCGACCTTAATTGAATGCGACATCAATTTTCCATATTATTCTCCGCTGCGATATACACACCGTAAAATACATATTGCATTCAAGTCAATATTATACTTGTCTTTCTCACGAGTTTATATATCCGCAAATATATCATCACAAGCGTCGAATTTTTCCGAAAAATACTCTCAATCTTTGTAAGTTCAGTATTTCTATCAAGAACATTGAAAGAATTAAAACACTTCGGATTACTTATTCCAGTTAACTGGGTTTAACTTTCCTTCGATCAAGTTTTCATAATATTCTTGAAGAGTAAATTCTTCCATTGAGTAAAGAAGTGATAATGAATTCCTAAAATATCTGTGACGGGTGCAGCTTAATATTATATTTAAGATGACCATTATTTAAAAGAAGAAATATAAACCGAGCAATTGCTTTCCTTCGCAGTACAATAATATTTTTCTCTGTGTCATAATAACGGAGTATAATATGATAACTAAATTAAAGAGATTCTATAATAATAGTCGACACCGTCCCACTGTCATATATGTATGACGCACCGATTTCTCACTTCAGGCTCATCGCATATTTTCAATTCTATTTAACACGTTCGCCGGTGTGCCGACGTCACGTATGAATGACGGCGATAATTTTTCTCGCTATATCCATATAAAGTTTGTTTTGCACGATTAAATAAAAACGTATACAACGGTCTGTGGGCAGAACTCGCCAAATAAAACGCGGTGGCGAAAATGTGTTGATTGCATATATAATGATTTCGTCGGTGACATCATTTAAATATTTTCGAAAAAAGGAGAATATATAGGCTCCGAAACGACATTAACGAATTAAAATCAATTTTAAGTAAATACGAGACTGTCTTTAGTTACGAGGTTATTATTTAACTTTGACGATACCTTTCGTCAAATTTAATACTTAATAATTTCACCGTGTATGATCTGCGTTAGCAATAACGTGGACGGAATTGTTAATATATTGTTTTTTGTTAAACGATAAATTACATAGCTAAAAATGGTTGACAGTCCTGAATCGTTGATTCGTTCAGTCGGAATTTGTCGAAAGTCACTGTCTTACAAAGAAAAAAAAAATGCTGGATTCAAGTAAATAATTATTCCAATACTCCTTAGCAAATTTTTATTCGGATCAAGTAATATTTATTTGATCCAAATAAAATATTTCCCAAGTAAAATTTACTCGATCCAAGTAAAAATTGCTAAAAAGTACTGGAATAATTTGTTCACTTGAATCTAGCACTTTTTCTCTATATAGCAAACTGAAAAAAAAAAACGTACGTTTTTTGCGGGCAAAAGTTTTACAAGCGGGCCTAAAATACGAATCAAAGAGAAGCGAAGAAAATTACAGAGGCGTTTTTGCGCGGATCAGCGGAGAGAAGGGGAGTTTTTTGGAAGCGGTTCAAAATCGCGAGACAGCGATTGTACTGTAAAAATCGCTCGAGCGTGAATGCGGCTTAACACACGTAGCGAAATACAATTTCGCGCGCGTGCCAAATGCTTAACTACATACATTTTGATAAAAAGCAACAGCTCGCGAAGGCTAAAAATTACTTCTGCTCGCGCGGTTTGTCATCGGATCGATACAAGAAATTACTCTCTGTTTGTGCCACCATGTTACTACAATAGCGCGATACGAATTTTATTTTTCCACACCTTTCGTTTCTCCATTACTCATTGCTATTTTTTCTCATTACTTGATTAATTCTTCTAAATCGTCTCCCGCACGCCGACTCATCAATGCGTACTTTTTGTTCAGGGAAATAAAAGAGATCGCGCATTAATAAAATCATTTCAGCAGCGAACGTGCGTTGAGCTTTTCATCACTGAATTTCAAGTATTACATTGTCAATCACTTAATGACCATTTAATGACTCTTCAACGACTTCCCTGATTGTGATGTGAAGAAAGAATCACAGGATAGGCAAGAACAATCGTGATCCAACTGAAATTTTTTCCATTACTGTAATGATCCTCGATGAATCTAAGGTTTCGTTAGGGATCGTCGAGGATATTCCAGCACAACGAATGATATTTTACCCGTTGTTACATATCGCGATCGCATAAACGGTACGTCGACACGAACAAGTGCATGCGTGACTTTCGCGCGGTAGCGAAAGTGCTTATAAACGCCTCGCCGACGCGTTTCTCGTTGTAAAAGGAACTCGCGACCGGCCGCCGCTGATTATCACCGCTTGAAAATAGCGTGCCGGGGATGAAAATTACGTAAACGGCCGCGAATAAATCGGACCGCCGAGACGGCGTCTCCGCGACTGTCCCCGCATCTCTCCGAGAGCTCACGGAGCTCTCACGCCAACGGGAAAATCCTTTCTTACTCGGAACTACAGTGAAAAGTCTCTTATTATTAAAAACGGTAGCCACCTAAATTTTCGCGTTACTTTGACAAGGTGAATATGTTAAAGAGCGATATTCAAGTTAACAAGACGTTGATTTAACACGCATTTGTATACTTTTCATATATTTCCCATGTTAAAGTGACGCAAAAATGTCAGCGGACCGTTTCCAATACAAAGCTTTTTACTGTTTATTACTTACTTCTCATTGTTTGTTAGAAAAGAAAAACAAACGCTGTCGTCGTTGGTCGCGGATTCGCGCGCTTTGAGAAACGAGATTTTCCCTGTAAAGAACGAGAGAAGGACGGACTGGCAGAGCCAGTTGCACTAGCGATCTACTAGAGGGCAACACGAATCGATTATTACTTTGCTAATGGCTCATTTCACTTAACACTCGCCTTTACTCGGCAATCGGGAACCTCGCCTCACCTTGCCCGCTGCCTGCGTGACGATAAAGCCCGCTCTCTCCCTCTATACGCCGCTCGCTAACGGAAATCATGAAGCTACGTGGACAGTGAGAAGACGGCTTGCCGTCTGGCCGTTCGTTTGTCGATTTACGAACTCGTTGCCGACATACACTGCACGAAAAAGTGAATTTTCAGGAGGTAAACGCTCTGTCTCTCTCACCTCCTCCCTGTCAGCACGCCGTTATTTTCGGAGCACCGTGTTTGTGTTCGCGCGTGTGAGCAGCGAGCGAGCGAATGACAGTCCGCGCCGTCGTTATTTTCCGTTTCGTCTGTCAGCAGCTGTATTCACGCGGCAGCCAGGCTGCGCCGCTGTTTCGGTCCTGCGATCGCAACGCGAATTTTCTCTCACGGCCGCGCCAGCCGAGACGAGCCGACGCCGCGCTGCTTCTTCCGTGCCGTCATAACCTCAAATTCAGTCGTGGAGCGGCGCGCCACCCGCCTGCTCTCCCTCTCTCTCTTCCTCCCTCTCTCTCTCTCTCTCTCTCTTTCTCTCTCTCTATATCGTTGACAGAAACAGGACGAGTGACAAACACTCGTACCGGGGGTCAAACGATCTTGAGGTTAAACCCGGGGGACCCCCGGGTTAACCGTGTTAACGCGTCGTGATCTTACCCTGGGTGGTCACTCCATGACACGCAGGATCCGGCGATTCTATTTTCCGCAGCGCCGGGTTAAGGAAGTTTGACACGACGTGATTGAGCCGGGACAACGAGGAGCGCGATGTTGCTCCTTTCGCCGCGGAATCAATAATCGTACTGCATAAGCGAGAGAGCGTCCGTGAGACCCTCGGCGTTCCGCGGCCGATCGCGTTGCCTCGAGGATGTGCCACGCCACGCATCTTTCCCTCTTTCGAACGATTCCGCCGCTCGGCGCGTCTACGGTCGAGAGTCGTCACTGAGCATGTCGGGGACGCAGGTGCACCACGCACCGATGTAACGTACAATGTACATATTCGGCGCGTCGGTTTGTCCGAAGCGACGAGCCCTAACAGGATTCTCTCTCTTTGTGTGTTTCAGCCGTCGGTCCTCCATTCGCTTGGAGGGCAGTGGAGCAGCGACGCCAGAAAATAATACGAGCTGTGGTAGCCTTGCGGAAGCGTAATAGTGGTTGGCTTCGGCCAACTGAGGCGAACGAGATATGGCTACGATAGACGGCCGGCCGGCCCAGTATGGTGTCACGCTTAAGCAACTTCGCGAGCTCATGGAGCTTCGGGGACGAGAGGGTGTCAACAAAATCAATGGCTATGGCGGTGTGCAGGAGATTTGTAAAAAGCTGTATACCTCACCCAGTGAAGGTAAGATCCATTCGCTCTGTCTTGTTGAGCTGGCGTTACTCTTGTGAGACTGACGAGAAGAATGCGGTGAGCATTCTGAGCGGTCACAGTCCTGTCGGAGAACTGTTAGAATTGATATATGATGGACAGAGTAGAGAATCGTGGAGGAGAATCGATAAGGCCTGTTTCCTGCCTGTCTGAAAATAGGTTTTTCAACATTGCTGAAAGTGTATCGTACCCTGTGTTCTACGTCTGTGCGTTTGAACGATTATTTCGTTGGTATAACACAACAGTCAGAGTGGTGAAACGTGTGTTCTTCTTGTTGTTTCTGTTAACCGAATAATGTTTCCTCACATACAAGCGCGTCTTTCTGTACTGTTTGCCGTATTATCTACCATCAGTACGATACGTTGGTTTAGTCAGAGATTTCTTGCAATGATAAAGGTCATATATGAGAAGTAACCAATATACTCACGCACGGCATTAAGCGAGAAATTGGCAGAAAACAGAATGTACAGATTTTTCTCCCATAGTCCACAAAAGCATGGAAATAGCGTACAAGTATAGCGAACAAGAAATAGTGTATTATATGTGATTATATGTAACGATGGTGTATTCTAAAAAAAGAAAAAAGAATGTATGATCAATTATGTGATGCTTGTTACACGCATAGGTCTCAGTGGGTCAACAGCCGATATTCAACATAGGCGAGATACATTTGGTTCAAATATGATACCGCCAAAGCCACCAAAAACGTTTCTACAATTAATATGGGATGCATTGCAAGACGTCACGTTAATCATCTTAGAAGTAGCAGCATTGGTTTCATTAGGTCTTAGCTTTTATCAGCCAGCGGATAACGAGGAAAAAGGTAAGTATTTGTGACGTGGCGCATTACATACTTTATCTACCGGTGGTTTTCCTTTACTGTCTGCATGGTTGTAGATAAAGAAAGTATCTTCATCATGTGTATCGCAGCTTATTTAAGAGCTATCGAAAACTCTTATAATACACATAATAACGATGAAAGTTTCGTTGATTTTAGACCGAAAGAAATCTCGTACGATACCACACTACGAGTTCTTCCCGTTTGTTTTCAGCGTTAGTAGATGAGGACGAATCGAAATACGGTTGGATCGAAGGACTCGCTATATTGATTTCTGTAATTGTGGTGGTCTTAGTGACAGCGTTTAATGACTATTCCAAGGAGAGACAGTTTAGAGGTCTTCAAAGTCGTATAGAGGGAGAGCATAAATTTTCGGTTATTCGACAAGCAGAAGTAAAACAGGTCTCCGTGTCTGACATTGTCGTCGGCGACATCTGTCAGGTACACACGTGTAACACTATTAGTCGAATTCTCTAATGTAACTATTTAAATGATGAAAAACGATCTGTACTGATACACGGTATTGTGTATATATTGTGGGGTAATCATTACTAAATACTAATGTGACGGAGGAGAGCATTAAAATTTATATTAAATTAGCTGTTTGACAATACAGATAAAATATGGAGACCTGTTGCCTGCAGACGGTATTCTTATACAAAGCAACGATCTCAAAGTGGATGAATCCAGTCTGACCGGAGAGTCAGATCATGTAAAAAAGGGAGAATCGTTCGATCCTATGGTGCTTTCAGGTGAGAGCCTCCGGCGTGTTGCTGTTTTTCGAAAGAGCTTCAAAAGTGTGTTTGAGGATCTTTCCGAAACTTTTCTATATGGGAGACTGTATTCGTGTATACTATGTTGTTGAAAAGGTACGCACGTGATGGAGGGTTCCGGGAAAATGTTAGTTACTGCAGTAGGTGTTAACTCCCAGGCCGGTATTATTTTTACTTTATTGGGCGCTGCTGTTGATCAACAGGAGCAAGAGATCAAGAAAATGAAGAAAGGTACGTATTGTAATTCGAGCGGTTCTCATTTGAATGACCACATATCTATAGAGGTTACTAAATTCTTGGAGTAATGCGGTCTTTATCACAGTACGTTTTCCTCGAGATTCCATTAGGTTTCGTTAGATTGTCTTTTTTTTCTCTCGAGATCAGCATCAATGCCCCAACTATTCTTTTCACTCTGATGATTTAGTACCCCTATCTCTCTATACTAGCAACTTCTGAATCATTTATAAACTGCTCCTATTTCGAAAGTTGTCTCTCGATCGGCCGGTACACGAATGCGTTATACGATATGTTCGTAGTATGAGTAGCTCGAGTAGCAGGTAGAATTTACGGAAATTTCTCTTCGATAGAAGTTGTTGGTACCATCGTATATCCCCGCATGATATTTACAAAATGTTTCAAAATGAGTGTAGACGAATCGCAGTGGACGCATGGTTTTGACGTGAATTGGTGTGATCATTTTATTATGAATTTTAAAACCAAACCATCTTATATATTTCCTGTTCTACCCCCGACATTGCATTTACAGCATCTACGGATGAATTTTGTATTTTCATTAACTCATTACTAATTGGCGAGAAAGAGTACCTGCATTTTGATTTGTTAACGTTTCGAGGACAGACTTGACTTGGAAAGTGTACAATACATACATTTCTCAAGACTGCCACAATACAGCAGTATTATTTTATAGCCACCACCTGCCCACCGCTCAATTAATTGAAAATTCTTTCTCCATTCGCTCGTTTATATTGGATATTTCGGTCATTGTCGAAGAAACTGTCGTTATCAAAAATATACACGCGAATAAACACACAAGTTATATATTACATTATCTATTTAAATTATTCTCTTAAAAGAGCCACATTTTATCCAACAGTATGCACAATAATATAATTATTCCCAAATCATCCCATCGTACATGGTTATTCAACATTTTACATATCACAAATTTGTTTAAATTTCGTAAATTATTGTGGAAGATAACGAGTCCTTATATTGATATTAGTTTTTGAGGTGCTACCGTTCGATTATGTCTCTTGCGTTCGTAAGTCATTTGTGTTTTCGTCCCTACGTAGCTATAAATGTTTCTGCTGTATAATGTTTTTTATCTTTTTTGTCTGATATGTGTATATGAGACTTTACATTCGGTAATTGCAAAATCGATCGAAGATTATTACTGTTACATAATTTTTTAAAATAATCTAATATGAAAAGTGTCTTAGAAGTATTGTGTACATTTCAGATTATTAATTTTCACATTACTGGAGAGCCCCAAGAACTTTCAAATTTTACATGTTAGGTGTTCTATACATGTATATAGTGAGTACGGATATTACGAGATTAATTTATTTAAAGGGAAAAATAATTAATATAGTTGTTTTGATTTCTGAGACCGAATTTTCGATGTTATATGAATGACTGTGTTTTAGTTAGACTTGCAGTGTTTGCGATTCGGTAGAAATGAACTACTTCTGAGACACTTTACATATGTAAAAGCGGATGTCAAAAGCATATTTCCTCTCTTTGACGATCCATGCTCCTCTGTATGTCTTTCGTTATTGCACAACCTGGAAGGTAAACTCGTCGTATTTTTCGATGTTATCCATGAATGCACTCTCATGCACTCTTACGGTTCCACTAGTGAAAACTTGTTCGTTTACTATAGAAGCAATAGTCGCTTCTAGTTCTTTATGTTTGACCTTCTGGGCTGTATCTACCTCATTTGTTAGTGTTAAGAGTACCTCTCTGCGAAAATCCGAAGCGCCATAATTTACGAGATAACAGAGAAAGTCATAAATGTGAATTCTTTTTAATATGAAACCGCGATTTTACCATTGGCATACATATATTTACATAGATAGATTGCTAATCAATTTCGTTTTGCATGTATTTTTTTATCTAGAGGCTAAAAAGCAGCGGAAGAAGAAGTCATTACCAGGTGAATAATATTAAATTATATACTTATTGTTTATATTATATCGATATCATGTGTATATATACACACACACACAATTAATGCCAAGGAATTAATCGACCGTTTCCAAGTCCTCAAAGGCAGCATAGTTCAGTATACTCTTCTTTATCTTTCACTTCATTGTCTTCATTTCTGCATTGTATACGGATATTTTTCTTCTCGTTTATTATCATTTTTTTGTCGTTTATGTCTACGAACTTTACATAAATGTTGCATATCTAAGGGAATTTTCCTTTGGTCTCTTTGTTTTTCTTTTTTTTTTCATCGGTAAGGTTCGTTTAAAGTCGGGTTTTCCCTTCCTTCCGTTGAGCGACTTAGCAGATGTGTGTACTCGGACCTCGATGCGGCTTGCTTCTTCGAAGTGCAGTAAAGTTACAGCTCGTGAAAGTCACGATTGGAAGCTCTATATCCAGGCCCGAGTGCAAAAGATAAAAAGAGAATTTACGTTATCCACGCTTCCGTGTTTCCCTATGATTTTTTGCGTGCTCTATAGCAGTGGTTTATATGCATTTGACACGTTAGCGGCTACCTCGTTCTTGCATAGCTTCTTGTTTTTCTGCATTTTTAGTATGCGCCCTGACAAACACCCTGGTGGTTTTAATCTGTGTCTCTAACGTGTAACTGTTGTGTCTTCTAATAATCTTGGTCCATCTTTCATCGAACTTCTGGCTATCGATTAACTCGAGTGGCATCCAGTATTTGATACTTAAAATCACGCTTCGGTATTACTCGTTCCGAGTGTAACGATCGAGGCTCGATCGGCGAGATGATGACGAGCGATGATGGGAGATTCTTGGCCTGTCGCACGAGTTGGTCGAACCTCGATCGGTGTATCGCGACGGATCACGCTCTAATTACGGCTAATTGTTGTACGCGTAATCAAGGCGAAGAAGCGGTAGAGATTACCGGGAACAGTCACGTGAGCGGCGGCGGCGGCGGCAAGCACGAGGGTGGCGAGAATCATCACGTGACTACGAGCGCCACGAGCTCCAGCGAGAGTAAGAAGGAGAAGAGTGTTCTACAAGCCAAGCTAACGAAACTCGCCATATACATCGGTTACGCTGGCTCGACCATAGCGATACTCACTGTCGTCATTCTAGTCATACAATTCTGCGTGACGACCTTCGTCATTCAGGGCAAGGCGTGGAGGAACACGTACGCCGGTGATCTAGTGCGGCATCTGATCATCGGTGTGACGGTGCTCGTAGTCGCCGTACCCGAGGGTCTTCCTCTGGCTGTCACCTTGTCGCTCGCTTATTCCGTCAAGGTGATGATTTATCAATTATCCTCAATATTTCGTCCGAGTAGATGACTCGAAACTATAATTACTTCTTTAAGATACGAGCAATTTTTTATATTTTATATGAGAAACTTGTTGCATACAAGTACTATTTGTGGGTTTCTGAAACTCATGATTGTGACGTTTGGTCACATATAGTGAGCCATATATATGCAAGGCGTAAAAACATGATTACATACTGTAGAAACTTAAGGAGCATCGTATTTATTAATGTCGAAAGACGTCAGTTTGAACAATTTCTGTGATCTTTATGTTTTCTTTCTTTATTTTCCATTTTTAATAAAAAAAGGAAAATATCCCAAGAAATCGTGCTCTCTGTCATAAACACTTGTAGAATCGTTTCGAATTGAATTCATGTTTATACGATATTTTCCACTTCGATTTACATACAAAACGTGCTCCTTAACACTTTAATGGCCGCTCACACAACATGTGTGTGATAGCCGGAATAACTGTTATTGTCCGGTCACACAACATGTGTGTGATGCTACCGCCGAAGAAAATATTGCCGACCCCTGGCGACGTTTGACTGCGTAGACATGCGGCCATTAAAGTGTTAAGTTTGTACAGCATGTCATGTAATGTAGCCTATAGATACAATGATTGTAATGGTTGGAACTTAAATGGTTAGAGAGATCGAATCTCACTCTGGAGTTCGTTCGATCATACAGTTATGCACAACATATAATTACGATGAAACTTCACTCGGAAGTTGGCTACACAATTCTCTGTATGCGTCTCGTTACGTAATGTGCGAAAGAGCATCAGTCCGCGAGAGATGGCGGAACGAATTTAAACCAATTCTGTCCCATAATTGGCCTCAATTCGCGATGATATCCGCACATTGCGCGATGAGGCACATTTAACGATTAGTAACACATCTCTTTCTCTCTGTTTGCAGAAAATGATGAAGGACAACAATCTGGTGCGTCACTTGGACGCCTGCGAGACAATGGGTAACGCCACCGCCATTTGCTCGGACAAGACCGGCACCCTGACTACCAACCGAATGACCGTGGTACAGTCGTACATATGCGAGAAGATGTGCAAGACCACGCCGAACTTGTCAGACATACCGAGCCACATCGGCGAGCTGATAATACAAGCCATCTCCATCAATTCGGCGTACACGTCCCGAATAGTGGAGTCGCAGGACTCTACTGAATTGTCGATGCAGGTCGGCAACAAAACCGAATGTGCCTTACTTGGATTTGTGTTAGCCCTGGGCAAGAAATATCAAACTGTGCGTGACGACTACCCTGAGGAAACCTTTACGCGGGTGTATACGTTTAATAGTGTAAGAAAGAGCATGTCTACTGTCATTCCCAGGAGGGGCGGTGGATTCAGGCTCTTCACCAAGGGCGCTTCCGAGATCATCATGAAGAAGTACGTATAGTTCACCTCCCCGTTTCTTATCCCTTCCCCGGCAAAACACCACAGAGCCTCCGCCCGTCGTATTTCTATCGACTCCCCTCACGGAATCCACCCGAGGGAAACCCGTTGAATGTTAAAGCGAGAGCGATATCGCCGGAAGGGCGGTTAACACGGCGGGATTTCCGACCGACCGAGGGGAGACCGATCGATCTCGCGATGAATTTATGTTGCAGATGTGCCTTTATATATGGTCGCGAAGGTCATCTGGAGACGTTTACCAGAGAGATGCAAGAGCGTCTGGTAAAGAACGTGATCGAGCCCATGGCATGCAACGGTCTGCGCACCATCTCCATCGCTTATCGCGACTTTGTTCCTGGCAAGGCGGAGATCAATCAAGTTCACATCGACAACGAGCCCAACTGGGACGACGAGGATAATCTAGTGAACAACCTCACCTGCCTGTGCATCGTCGGTATCGAGGATCCGGTACGTCCCGAAGTACCCGAAGCGATTAAGAAATGTCAAAAGGCCGGCATCACCGTGCGTATGGTGACGGGCGACAATATAAACACCGCGCGATCCATCGCGCTCAAGTGCGGTATCCTGAAGCCGAACGAGGACTTCCTCATCCTGGAGGGCAAGGAGTTCAACCGTAGGATCCGTGACAGCAACGGCGAGGTGCAGCAGCATCTTCTGGACAAGGTGTGGCCGAAGTTGCGCGTGCTCGCTCGATCGTCGCCCACGGACAAGTACACCCTGGTGAAGGGCATCATCGACAGCAAGACGACCGACAGCCGCGAGGTCGTGGCCGTCACCGGCGACGGCACTAACGACGGCCCGGCGCTCAAGAAGGCCGACGTCGGCTTCGCGATGGGCATCGCCGGCACGGACGTGGCCAAGGAGGCCTCCGACATCATCCTGACGGACGATAACTTCTCCTCGATCGTCAAGGCGGTCATGTGGGGCAGAAATGTCTACGACAGTATCGCCAAGTTCTTGCAGTTCCAGCTGACCGTCAACGTGGTGGCCGTGATCGTCGCCTTTATCGGTGCTTGTGCCGTGCAGGACTCGCCACTCAAGGCGGTACAGATGTTGTGGGTAAATCTAATTATGGACACGTTAGCGTCCCTCGCCTTGGCCACCGAATTGCCTACGCCCGACCTTCTCCTCCGTAGACCGTATGGTCGCACAAAACCACTCATTTCCAGGACAATGATGAAAAACATTCTCGGTCAGGCCGTTTATCAGTTGACCGTAATTTTTATGCTTCTTTTCGTCGGTGAGTACCGTTCGGCCCCGCCGTCCTCCTCCGCCCCTCGGCGAAGCGCCTCTAAAACTTGTCTGTCCGCGATTCACCAGGTGACAAGATGCTCGACATCGACACGGGCCGCGGGGTCGCGGCGATGGGTGGCGGGCCCACGCAACACTTCACCGTCATCTTCAACACGTTCGTCATGATGACTCTCTTCAACGAATTCAACGCTAGGAAAATTCACGGTCAACGCAATGTCTTCCAGGGAATATTCACCAACCCCATCTTCTACTCGATTTGGGTCGGCACGTGTTTCTCGCAAGTAAGTCGCCGAACATCCCCGTACCGTGCGGCTTATCGACGCGACTGGGACGACCCAGAGTCGCTCCATATCTCTTACGACTTCGTACGACACGATTCATCACTTCTTTCTATATCGACAAATCGCAACACACCACCAGCGCTGGCGTGCAATTTTTTCGCGCGAGCTTCTTCCGCGACCATTCCATTCGACCGCGAGGAACTCGCTCCGTCTCTCTCTCTCTCTCTTTCTCTCCCCCTCCCCCTCCCTCGGGATACATCCCTGAGCGGAGCATTGATAATTACAGTTAATTAATCGTAATAGGGTGACGAGCGGACGCGAAACGCGCGTATTAAACAAGAGCGACAAACGCCGCCGGGTCCGATGGAAAAAGAGTCGCTGTGCGAAATTTTCTCGCGTTCTTTGCATCGGCGGGATACGACTGAAAGAGGCAGGATGTCGTAACGGTGACTCGGACAGCGTCACCTCCTATGTCCTTTTAATGAAACTGTCTGCCTATCTTTTTAGGTGGTCATCATACAATACGGTAAAATGGCATTCAGCACTAGAGCTCTCACGTTAGAACAGTGGATGTGGTGCCTGTTCTTCGGATTCGGTACGCTATTGTGGGGCCAAGTAGTTACGACTATTCCTACACGCAAGATTCCCAAAATTCTTTCGTAAGTTAAAATTACATACTCACGCACACGTTTTCTTTTTTTTACCCCCTTTTTTTTTAATCTTTTTCGTTGGATTTCTGAGCACAGGATCGCAGTTTATAGTGAGAAAAGGAAAACAAAGTAGCAAACACAGAAAAGAAAAAAATACGGTTGCTCCAACACTCGGCGTGTTCTCGAAGTGATCTTTGTGGTAGATGTGTGATATTTGCTCATCCGATTTATCGCAATTCCGCCAATTGACGCGGTCGAAAGAAATAGAAACGAAGAGAATCATTTTTTTTTAACGTTCGCGTCACTTGTTGCTCTCATGTTTCATTGGTGACCAAGTGCTAATACCTCAGTCACGCGTACATAATTTACAAAATCGACTGTGACAATTCAGTCGAGTTCTTGCTTTCCTGCATCGTGACGTTCTTACGGTGTAGTGATTGTTGCATCGCTAACGTGTAAGAGATGAAAACGCCTTTGCAACGAGTGTAGTGTCTTGTATCTTGCAATCACCGGGTAATGACGTTATCGGCAACGAAATCACCATTGTATTCGGTTCATAACGCTAAAGTGGCCGATATCTATCTAACGACTGCTGTTTTGCCATCACACGAATTAGTATCCTATGTTTTCGTCTCATTAGCGGTAGATGCCTTTGCATGTCGAACCTTGAATTCACTCGTGCTCTGATCAGTATAAATATATGTATGTATGTATATATATATATATATATATATATATATTTATATTTATATATTTGTATATGTATATGTATATATATATATATCACTATATAATCGCAGGGTTAGTAACAGTATATGTCGACTCCCCGAAGAATGTTGTCTCCCGTATGCAAGCTCGTGCGATTGCTCCGTTTCGACTCACGACTTGATCTCGATCGTGGGCGGGCCGCGAAGTAAAATCGCCGGGAAAGCCATTATATGCAAAATTCAGGCGCATTTGCACCGAGGTGTATCAGCAAATTGGCGCATTGCAAAATCAAACGTTCACTTCTGTGGCCGAGAATTATCCTCGTATCGATTGGCATCGAATCGTTACCGCGATAGTAAATATCGGAAGACGAAAATTATCTCGTCAAAGGGACTATTCTACCCGCTCGGCTGGAATCGTTGATAGAAATCTAAAAATATTCTTAGAAATACTTTCGCATTTTTTCGCTCATGTCGTCCCTGACCGACTTCTTCCTCCCTTTTCACGAGATCGACGATCGCGGCGAAATGAGAGCAATCGCGCATATTCAGGTGTGTCCCATGTCCCGGGTATTCCCTCGCTCCTTTCAACCTGTGCGTAATATGGCCTTAATCGTTGCATGATTACAGCCCTCTCCGAAATCTACGTACTTGTTTGTGTACGGTCGAGCGACCGGCGACAGCGGACGTACACGTACGTGTCGCAACCATAGCTTGCACTAACGATCAAATCCGACGTATCGCCTGATATCTGCGATACCAACGAGGCGGATTGAGAAACGATCGCGCGAAAAAACGAGAGCTTATTTTGCCTAATACCGATCGGTCAGTGGATCGATTAGTTCCGATCGGCATGGCGAGCAATTCGAACGATCGGGCATTTGACGATGCTTATTAACATACACTCTTTCACTTGATTCGTTAGATTTACGCGATTTTTCAGCGCCCCCTTCTCCTCTTTCTCTCTCTCTCTCTCTCTATCTATCTATCTATCTATCTATCTATCTATCTAACTGTCTCGACTTCTCTATCCTTTTTCTGTCTTTATCTCTGTTCACCCTTGTCTCTCTGTCTCTTTATGTTCTCTCTCAATATGTTCTATATATTTTCCCTCCTATTTTTCCGCGCGTACACATATACACACACACACGTGCCCGCGCGCACACACGCACACACAGAGCACACATCTATACGAAACTATACTCGTGGACACACCCTTGCTAATGACACTCTTCTTTCTATTAATCTACTCTCGCTCAGGGATTGGAGTCGGTATATTTTCAGCGAGATCAGTTTTTCTGATGCCGTAAATACGAGGAAGGAGGCCTAACTGCGTCTTTTTTGTCGAGAAAAGAAAGCACGGAAATCGCTTTCGCATGTTTGCAGCATCGAAATCTGAACGTTTGATTTTGTAGCAGTCTCGATCCCTGCTCGTACACCATCTTTCCGCCATCTCTCTCTCTTTCTCTCTCTCTCTCTCTCTCCGTAAACTAACAGGTCCTAACCCGCAAGAGAAGCACAGCACGAACGCAGCCGCCGCATGCGAGATTATCGTTTCGTAACGGGAGAAGCGCAAGTGTTAATCTCGCTAGAGAACCCCGGGTGCTTTTTGCTGCTCTCGCACGCGAAGTCGAGCGCACCGAATGCCACACGAATACAAAAAGGATCAGCTACTAAAGGACAGGGAGGCGCGAAAGAGCTTTTTACCGCCGATTAGAGAGAGATTGTGTACCGCTTGTAACACCGAGACACTTGGCTACTTACGTAGTATGTGTATGCCGTTTCGTAGGTTGAACGGAACCCCTTCCTCTATGGACACACTTAGTACAACGCGAACGAACGCGACGAGGACGACGAACCGGCCGCTGCAATCGGCGGTATAGCTTCGCCGGGTCGTTCCCACGATGTTCACGCGCTCATTTTCCAACGACTCGAATGAAGGGAGAATCGACGGAATACGTAATATCGATGGCTATATCGATAATCGACGGCTGTGTCGATAACCAATGGCTGTGTCGATTATCGATGTCGTTGGCCAATCGAATTGCAGCTTAACCGCCAGTGCCTCTCGGACGCCATTACGAAGTCGGTCGCGCGCCGAATGAATACGCGTAAACTTACTTGGGATCGACCCGACGTAATTCTCGCTCTCGTAGGAGCGTCACTCACCACGAGCTGTGAACGTGTGCAAGCTGAATAGTGCGAAATAGAGACGTGTAGTGTGAAACGTAGTGACAGGGCAGCGGCGCGACCGTTTCGCGTTTGTGTCGCGCGATCAACAGGTAAGGGGAAATCGCACTTGCTTCTTACAGTAGTGCGACCACAACTCGACGCAAACTCGACACCGAGACGCAGGGAGAAATCCGAGAAGAAAAGAAACGAACCGACATTACGTACTGTACTGACGACGCGGAGAGAACCGAGACTACGCGCAGCGGACCCCTGAAAATATCGCGTCCCCGGTTTACGCTCTAACGGTTTTTCGCGAGAACCCTGACCGCGGGCTGATGCATACTACGTCGGGGAAAGCTCTGAATTGGGCAAGCGTCTTGAAGCGGTCTCATATTTTCGCGTATAATCTTTGTATATTTCTTCCTCTCTCTCTCTCTTTCTCTCTCTTTCTCTCTCTCTCTCTCTCTCTCGCTCTCTCGCTCTTCTTCCCGTTCATTATTTATATTCGCTTCTTCGTTGCACTTCTTACCTTGTTATCGACTGTACACAGAAACAAACGGCAATCGGAGAAACATATTTCGCCCTCTCTAACGCTTCTTACATTATATCAACGTTTCGTAACATTTTGCGCACCAAGCGTGTCGTATGTGTCCTAACATTGTAATTAAAGTCACTTGTACGCGATTTTCAACCTTACGCATACGGTGAATTGATTTTCATCTACACTGGAAGGGACCTATCCCGCAGCTTTGAGTAAATTATGCCCGAAAAAGTAATAAATAAATGTTGAGGCATATATATGACGCCCGAGTCAAAATTTTGATTGTACCTTAATTCTGCAAATTTCGACAAACTTAACTAGTGGAGAATCTCGAAATATCACCTTACAGACCATTATTTTTTTATGCTAAAAGTAGTTATTTACCGTTGTTTCGTCCATAGTCTACATCGATGGCTTGCGCCGGACGCACATATGCGCCCATAGCAGTCAAAGGGTTCATTTTAATATATAAACAATGTGTTCATTGCACCATACGCAATATTATCTAAATGTAGCTTATTCAACTGCGAATAGAACGTTGCGGTGAGCCAAGTATTAAATGGTTTAGTAGATTAGTAGGTAAATACATAAATAAAATAACAATTTTTTTTCAAAATTTTGGTTATATTTTACTGGCGTTAGAAATTTCGATAGGATTCGTAGATGAAAGATAAGTGAAAAGGAAACAATTCTGAGTCACCGACTGTCGGCTAAACCCGACGTTCTGTGATCCATCCAGCGTCTGTTTCTGCTCGTCATCGTGGCTGGGCCACGGTGGTACACAATAGTGCCACACTTAAGCACGATTCAATTGGAAACTCGACATTAACCGATGATCGTACGTTAATCGATTGTCGAATGCTATGGACAAATCTCCCAATACACACCAATTCTGATAACTTTGTTGACGCATCGGAGGTTCGGAATATTTCGTCGTCGTGATTTCCCGGCCACGAAGTGTGCTCGTTATTGATTGGTGGACGACAACGGTTCATGATTAACTTGTGCGTCTTTCGATGGTGTCCATTGTCTTGATAGTCTCGCGCGTTATGTACTTATCCGCGTCAGCATGTGATTAGTCACAAGAATGTTGCGGCATTTTTTTTTTTAAGTTTCGGAACGCCTTCTTTTCACTTTTGTTTGTTATTATGCCGAATTTAAATCCATGTTGGTGTTGACACGACTACTATTTTTAGCTTCTTTCTCTTCACGTGTTTTGAATATTCAATATTCTACCGCAGTTTCCAACGCTAATAAAAAATAACGAGATTATGAAGATAGGAAGTTTATAACGCTATTCGCCCATATTTATTATTTATTATCGGCTTGTCGCACACAATTCTATCTGCAATTGAATAAATTACATAATTATAATTATATGCGATAAGGAAACGTTAAATAATAAATACGGGAAAATAGCGCTACAAACTTCCTATCTTCATAATCTCGTTATTTTTTATTGGCATTGGAAACTGTGTCAATAGGATTGAATATTCAAAAGCTCGCACCTGAACTAAACTCTACGAATTGGCCACAATCTAGCCTGGCCAACTGTCTAACCAACCTAGCCGGTAAGGCTACCGCGGTTAAGAAGTTGCTTAATGCAAGTCAACTACTTGCTACTTTTGTACGTTGGCCGCGTTGGTCTACCCAACATCATATATATAATACTGCGATTCGCTGTTTCAAAAATGCAAATGATTGCGGCAAAAGAACTTTTATAAAGCCAATGAAAACTGGCCATAGCAACGATTCTTTTTTTTTTCCAGTATAATATACATCGCTCATTGAAATTTAGAATAAAGATTAAATGCAGGTAGAATATTGAGATGATGGAATATTAAATAGTTCTCGAATTAGTGCTTTTCCAAACCTCAATATGGAGAAAACGCAACAAGTAACTATTTGTAACATCAAAATAGGACGATAGTCCGTGTATCTCAAGATTCTCCACTAATTCTTATAGTTCGGCCGTATTTGCAGGATCAATATGCAACCGAAATTTCGATTTTGGTGATGTACTATAACATCTGGTAACATACATTCTCGTTCACGATATATCCGTGTCGCACCATGACGTATTCTCTCGTTCGTTGGCTTCCGATGTCCTGAATTTTCGTTAACAAGAAATGTTTGATGCAAGTTGGCCATGGTGTGTCTCTCTCTCTCTCTCTCTCTCTCTCTCTCTCGTCGAGAAAATTCCGAAGCAAGTTTTCCTGTTTTAGAAATTAAGTAAGAGTTGTATTTTTTATCATATAGATGGAGTCTATCTCAAATTAACGGGGAAATGAGCGAACTAGGTTTTATGTTCCTTCTAATGAGTGTTTATTGTAATTATGTTCCCTCTGATTCGATAGTTTTCAGTCGCTCATAAAATATTTTCGTCTCGACGTTTTCGATGTAAGGAAATTATTACAATTTGTTGAACGTCGTTATCGTGCATCAAACACACCTGTTTGCGAACCATCGTATTTCTCACATCTTTCTGTCACAACCTCGTTGATCACACTCTTCCTTTTTCGTGCGCACACATATATTCCCATACAGACATCATGCACACAACATATACATACATTATGTACACGTAACAAACATTGTTGCTACATCGCCACCGCCTGGTCTTTTCACCGTCGCTGATAATAACTAATTCGTTATCGAATCACGCGTACCATTAGTACAACGTAGATTAGGGATTCTGCTAAGGAGCGAGGGGAAAACGGAAAACGGTCGGGTGCAGTGCGTCAAGGAGAGAGAGCCGGCCGCCGAGACAATATCGAAAAAAACAAAAAAGAAAGAAAGACAAACTACAAATACCACACCATTCTTTTCCCTCAGTTAACAGGAGAATCCGAGTGATGAAGAAATGGTTTCATGTTTTTTTCAAAAACAGATGGGGCCGCGGCCAGCCAGATGATATCGGCGCGATGAATCTAGGAGACGAGAAATTCGACCCCGACTCGGATAAAAAGCCGCGCGCAGGACAAATTCTGTGGATCCGTGGTCTTACACGGCTACAAACACAGGTAACTATCCCTATCTTTCTCTCTCTCTCTTTCTCTTTCTCTCTCAATCTCTCTCACTCTCTCTCACTCTCTTTCTCTCTCTCTCTCTCTTTCTCTATCTCTCTCTCTCTTTCTCTCTATCATTCTCTCATATCTCATCACTCAAGATCAATATTCTCTTGTCCTCTCTCACGAACAGAAAAAAATACCCATCGCCACCGATCCATCGGGTTCGGAGCGAGACCACACGAGCCTTTACTTAACTTTAACTTTTAGGACTCTCTCTCTCTCTCCCCCTCCCTCTCTTATTCACTCACTCATTCCCCTACTCACTCACTCACTCACTCACTCACTTACTCACTCACTCACTCACTCACACTATCTCTCTACTCTCTATTTCTGTCTCTCTCTTTTTCTTTCTTTTTTTTTTTTAATTTCTAACAGGACGCGCGCGACCACTCGACGTTCACCCACGTCGAACGTATGCGCACACCCACAACTTTATTATGTATCACCACCGTACAAATTATAATTAACCCAAATCCACTATTACTACTACTACTATTACCATTACTATTACTACTATTACTATTACTACTTTTACGACGACGACGACGATGATGACAATGACGACAGCAACGAGCTGTTTATGTTTTTTGACGTTACCTTGGTTTGCATTTTCATTTGAGTTCCACCGTTTACCGCGCAGAGAGCCGCGCGCGCGCGCGCGTTTATTCTACATTTCGAGTGCGACCGTGCCGATACTGAAGTACGATAAACGATCGTGCGACAGCGAGTGCCTAACAGCGATCAGATTTGAATCAAACGATCGCTATGATAACGTAGCCGGACCGAAGAGTCGAGTCTATAGCTCGGGTAGTAGCTCGAAGAGAGCACAGCCGGTGCGCGTGCAGAACGATCGCCGAAGGAGGAGCGGAGAGCCACGAAAATCCTCGCGAAACACGAAAATCGCTCGGTACTCTCTCTTTCTCTCTTTTTCTCTCTCTTTCTCTCTCTCTCTCTCTTTCTTTCTCTTTCTCACTCTTTCAGAGACTCGATACTTGACGCGTGTCTCTACCAATTGTACATGCTACATGTGCATAGTCGCATGCACACATGTTTGTATGTGTGCGCGCGTATATATACACATATAGACGTATATATAGACAGGCAAACTCAGTCCGTGTAAGTCTTCGCCGATAAGAAAGTAGATCCAATGCTATCAGGTAGGGGGAATCGGTAGGAATTGGCTGCGAAATGTGAAAAAGCGACAGGGACCGATAAACGAAGAGAAACGACAGACGGGAACGGTGAATCGCGATGCGATCACGTTTCACTCGGGACCGACCAGCGTCACTGATCGCTCGCGCGCACGCACGACTCTTCGTCGAGAACGACGCACTGGTTGACACACGTGTGACACATACACGGAGATTTGCCGTAGTATACGCACGGATTATTGCTTGCTCCCTCCGCCCGTACCACCCCCCCCCCCC